TTATTAGGGAGGAAAACCCGTCTGGATAACAGCAGACTGACTGTTCATAAAATATACGACAGCTCCTGAATTTTGTTCGTATCTGAAAAAAATCTTAGAATACGAAAACATTGGTGAATGCCACAAATTCTCCTAAATCACTCGTACGCACAACTTAAAACAAATCTGTGCGTACGAACGGTTCTTGCATGAGGCCCATTGACCCTCCTCATCAGGAAACTCCTGCCATGTGCGCAAGACGACACAAGATGGCAGTTAAAAGCAAACTTTGACCCAGATACCCCCAGCACCAGGAAACAAAACACCTGTATGCACAGTATCTGTAACGACAGAAAAACAAAGAGAAGAAAATTAAAATACTTTAACACATAACATTCTATATGTTGTTTATTTTTATTTTTTATTTTTTATTTATTTTATTTTTTACTGGCCTCCCTCCACTGGCTACCTGTTCATTTTTATTTTAATGTTCATTTATTTGTTTTCAAGAGTATGGTCTTGCCCCATGCTATTTGTCTGAGCTTATTCAGCCACAGTCTCCTGCTCGGTGCGTCAGGTCAGCAGACCAGCTGCTCCTTCAGGTGCCGAGGTCCAAACGTAAGCTGAGAGGTGACAGAGGTTTTTGTGTTGCTGCTCCAAGATTGTTGAACAGTCTTCCACTCTCTGAGACAAGCCGGTTCACTGTCCACTTTTAAAACTTGTTTAAAAACACAGTTTTACTCTCTGGCTTTTGGAACAGTCTGAAACTTTTTCTGTTTTTTATTGTTTTAGAGTTTTTAACCATTGTCTTGTTTTCGTTTTATATATGTCCAGCACTCTGTTGCAGCTGTGGTTATCTGTGGAGGGCTTTATAATTAAAGTTTTTTTGAGTTATTTTTTATTGTGATTTTGTTTTACTTTTGAAATTACAGCTTTGTAATTCTGTACAACATTAAAAACAAAATGCAAAACTGAGGCACTTCCTCTTGGATTCAATGATCCAAACTGAGCTTTGTAAACATTTATTGCATTTTGGAGGGAGCACACATTAAGACAGTTTCCAATCTGGGATGATCCACCATGCATGTTGGHTGGCTGGGTACTTCCTCCATTCTGGCAGTAACCTAACACTGTTATTTAATTAGTAATGCAAAAAATAAAATATAATATCCTTAGTATTAGCAAATCACACTTACTTCAGGAATTTCTCTACAGCATAGATTTTCTACTTCTGTTGGCATAGTACAGGTATACCTAAACAAATTAATAATTGGATAAAGATAAACAATACCAGGCAATAAAAAAAACACAAGGGATGCAAAGTTCTGATTTGACATGGAAAACAGGCTAATAATGAAAAATGTAAGCAATACCATTTAAATAGCTTTTTGAAAATTTCAAACAAAGACATGCAAAAAAATATTTGAAATTATTTAACATCTGTACAGTGAGTGTGAATATCATTTTGTGGTTCAATTAAAAAATACTTCATTGATTGCCAAAGTGAATTATACAATATAATAGTAGTTCAAATGCATGTATTTTAGTTGAACAATGCTCCCCAGAGTAGATAAGGATGGAGAGGTTGTAAATAAATAACGCACCATTGTGACACATTCATGTGAGGATGTGGTTCTGCAGGTTTGTCTTCTTCAGTGTCTTCTGGGTCAGATTCTGGCTCGTACATGTAAGGCTGGATTGACAAGTCCTTCAAAGTTGACATCGTGAAACCTTTTTAGAAACCGCTGTTTTGTGAAGGTAGATAATCGTGTTGTTGCCATGAAAACTACAAACATGGCCGAACGGGGTGGAGTCGAACGCTCAGCGACCTGGAGGGGGCGGGGTGTGAAACATCTCATTTGCATTTCAAGAAACCGCACCAAAACAGCTTGCTCTGAGGGGCAACTTAGAACAGGGGTAAGTAAGGATTCTGTGGGGCAACAAAAACGAGGAATTAAGACCAAAGTGTTTTAAATAGACCATAAGAGAATGATTTACACGTGAAAAAAAAACGATTTTAAAAGCATGATATATTACCCTTAAAGTCATGAACTGTAGTTCTTAGCAGAGCCCTATAGGGCTCTGGTTCTTAGAGGCTGTACTAATTAACGGAGAAGAAGAATCATGACTTCCGGTTCAGTAAACTGAACGATTCATTCAGGATTTGAACCGTTTGGAAGGATTTATTTTCCCGTTACTTCTCTGCGTCGGACGACCATCACTTTTAGCAAGTATATAAGGTMAAGTCCAAAACTAAACGGTTTGTGTTTAAAAAATAAAAAACAACTGCATCACTACTTCGTATCTTTTCTATCAGTGCTTCACAAAGCTCACAGGAAGCTAAAGCTAGCTGTCGCGTTAGCACAACAAGCTAAGCTACGTTTAGCCATCATGTCACTTAATTTACCCAAACATCTGTGGCTAAACTAAATCAGGAAATGGTTGTTTTTAATACTGAACTAAGCTGTCATTTMTCAACGTCTGTCTTTGTGCTTATTGTCATGTTATTGTTGATKAATTTGACTTCTCGCTGTGGGCCTTTAACTAGCTAAAGATTCATTTAAACTGGGACAGTACAATCTGCATTAACCTTAAAGGAAAAATGTATTTTACCAGGTTAGCTCTGGTGATAATTTCTACCTGTAGTCCACATAACAAATAAAAGAAAGTATCCGGTAGCAAAGAGCCGGATGCTATTCAATAAATAATGTATACTTAAAACAGATATATATATATATATATATATATATATATATAAATATATATATATATTCCAACAGCATGCAAACACAACCCTTATTATAACATCCGTACTCACAAGAGTTCACTATAGATATCTACTCGATGTAAAAAAAAAAAAAAGTTTTGCATAAAAACAGACACCTTCAGATACAATGGTTAAAGCCCATTGATATAAACTAAGGAGGTCTCATTAAGCTGTGTTTATAATATTGTAGTAAAGAAGTTATTAGAGTTACAGTGTCCATAAAAAGTATTCACACCCTTTTGTGTTATATGATTATATTGTTGTCATAAATCATTCATGGCTAAAMCAAACAAASTGTAYTGACCCTGACTGATGAATATGTTTAATAGACACTGAATAGTCTGTGAAAACTACCTGTTGTGTAGTCTGATATCTCTGGAYKTTTCTGTAATATTTTACATCAAAGTTTATCTTAAAACCCTAAATTAAGCCTGAAGTCGGGCTTCATTCCTTTACTGCAGAGTACCCTCGGGTCTCTGGTGCAGCATCTTGATCAGAGAGGTCCAGACATCTATTTCCACAGAMACCTCTTCAAGGAGGACTCCAAGGTGTTGCCAGATCAGCTTGGTCTCCTCTCACATAACCAGAAAACCTCCCTGTGACGTGGTGATGCAGGTTTCACCCGTGGTCTCCAGGAGATGCTCCATGACGAAAACCACATCAGACGAATCCTCGTTTATGGTGTTACGAAGAAGAACCAATCAGTACTTTATGATCTGTTGCTGTAAAGCGCYGTTTARAGAAAWCACGTCTTAAATTTGTAAGATTACAGATATTAATCTCTTCTGTTTGTTGAAGCAGATTGCTCATCACCTTTTTCCAGACTGAAGTTCAGCATCATCCAGCACTGGGTCCAGCATCCTCTGCACCCCTGTTGAATCACGAACAACTGAAGTGAGTCTGAACAGGACCTCAGTCTCAGCCAGGAAATTTTCTAGTTTGTTTCACAATTTTTTGATGTTTTTGTCAAAAATAAACTTCTTGAATCAATAAAATGTGGTTTAGAGTTGATGTGAAGTTCATTTAAACTAATCTGATTAAATTGTGGTGGTAGAGGTTCTTACGATTATTAGGTATTAAATTGAGTGTTTTCTGCTGTTCGTAATTTGCGTGTGAAATTAGTGTTTTTTTTTTTTTCTTTAAACAGTGTCTCGTTCTATAAATCTTGTCATGTTTTACCTCCTCTGCTCTCTCCTGCTAGTGGAGACCCGGACGTGATATCGATGAAAGGAAGATGCAATTCAGCCAGATGATGGATGTCCTCGGTTGAAGAGGCCGTCCCTTTCTGCATTTTTCTTCTTCGTCCTCCTTTCTAGCTGTTTGCTGCTTGGTTGTTGTCTTCCCTTCTGCTTAAGGGGTGCTGTTCCCCAAAACCASCCATTCCTTATCGGTTAAGATGCACTTTTGTGACCAAGTAAACTGAAAACTCGGAGATGCTTTTATCATTGGTGTCAGAGTGAAAATCTAGACTGCAAACCCCAACAAAGTGTTTTATTTGTCTTTAAAACAYCCTCTTGCCCTGCTGTGGGACCTTTGATCTCTTGAACCCCWAGAWGACTCTAAAAACCATGTCCCATCCCATGTATAACCCCTATGCTTCTGGGAGTCAAGGTTCCTCCCAGGACCAGTATAAACCTCCAGGGCGATTGGAGAGGGAACAATGGAGGGCRCAGCATCACGTTGGACCTGATTTCGGCTTCAGCTCTTCTGCAGGTTCCTCTTCAACTCCCRACAACTTGGAGAGAACAGCCCCACAGTATCAAGAGGYGCRGGCGGGCTACAGACCCGAGCAGAGGATGGTCCGATCAGAAAGGGACGTAGAACCCTCTGTTGGCTCGTACCTCACCAGAGCCCGAGAGGAAGTGAGACATCAGCCTTTAARTCACGGTTTTACTCAAAGAGACGAGCRATTTCCTTCGAGCGTTGAGRTGCCRCCCTATCCAGACGCGGAAAGGCGCCAGGTGTCTGATGTCGGAAGCTACAGCAGTTCCTTGAACTGGTTGCAAATCTGCAAAAAACCCACACAGAGCACTCCTTCAACGTCTTACTCAATGGCTTCGTCCGACTTTCACGGCAGCGGAGGCGGCGCTACTTTTTTCACTCCTGCCGACAGACAACAAGACAGACAAGCATTGGGCAGCTTCGATGGTCCGATGCCAGAACAACCGGTGCAGCGCTCGCAGCCCAGAGGTCCACAGTACACCGCAGATATTGCTACAAACATCCTTGAGCAGTTTGGTCTGGAAAAAGAYGACTTGGAATATCTCCTTTCTTACCCTGAAGATCAGCTCAGCTCAAACAATCTGCCTTTTATCTTGAAGCAGATTCGCCTTCAGAAACAGGAAAAAGCTGCAAAAACGCAACCTTACCCTGACMCCCAGCCCACCCCGAGCTTTAGTGGGATGGACAGGTTGAGCGGCTCTAGAGAGACGGGGGTTTGCAAGGACACTGTCAAACCGTCAAACCCTATTAAAATYAGTAAGGTGATTGAGTATGGGCACACRRCGAAGTATACCGTGGCCGGGACTCMGGCTGAAATGACCAGCAGAGTTACCAGTGGTGGGATGGAAGGTAGGCTTGACCCTCACAAAGACAAGCCGCAAAGTAGATCAGAAGTGAAGAGCAGTGCCACACTTTCTTCGCTTGACCAGCTGGGTACAGCTCCCATCTTCRGTCCAACCAGGACCTCTGTGGCTCCTCCCACCAGCGGTCCAACTGGTCCGACCCAAACCAAACCAAGCAAGGCTCCTAAAAGAACCTTCACCCTTTTCCCYGTTTTACAKAAAGACRCAGACGCAAAGGTTTACAACRCAGAACCTCCTAAACCCATGACGTCACAAAAACCAGGGCAAGATCCCCAAAAACCATCCRCTCCCCAATCCCTCCAAGAAAAACCCATCAAGATCGTCCTCGACGCCAGTCGCAACGTTCAGGGCAGATCTCAGAATCAGCCGCAGGAACCGAAGAGTCAGCAAAACAAAGCAACTGACTCAAAGAAGCAACAGCCAGCACCAGTTCCTTCAGTCGTAGAACCTGTCGTTAGACGGTCTTCTGACAGGAGGAAGGGCAGCACGATTCCATCAKCGGRGCAGATAAGAGACAGCTCTGGGCTGGTGCCGATGCAGTACCCACACTGCTGCGTTCTGTGTAACATGATTTCTAACAACACGAAGGTAAGASAGTCTTTGTTCTTGTTATTTAACATTTTCACTAATAACTTTAACTCTTCAAAATGTTTTGCGKAATTTGCATCATTTTTTATAAAAATAAAAAGGATTTTCTGTATTCTAGGGTGGAGCCTTTTTACCCTAGCTGATATTCCTTCATTTGGAACATCCAACTGTTTTGCCCCTCAAAACCAAACCACCTGTTCTCCTTTTCATGTTGTTCTCTCGCAGCCCTAACTCTAATTCTAGCTGTCTTAGGTTGTATGCTCTCCTGCCTGGATTACCACCACCAAACCTKGGGGAAAAGTTGAAACCACGCAAAAATGAGGGCCGAGACGTCACAAAACCCATAAAAAACATTTTCTCGTTTGTCAATTGCCTTATTTGTGTTTTTTGTCATTTTTTTATTTTTCATTAAAATACCTTAAAATACCATAATTTAATCGAAACCACAACGAGAAAAACTTAAGATTTTAGTAGTTTGTTGTAAATTGTTTGAAATGGTCTCTAACTTCGTGTTTTTGTTGTTTTGGTTGACCAGCAATGGGTGTCCCACTGCGACTCCGGCATTCACAAAGTGAATATCGAGAGGCTGATGGAGGAGTCAGTGTTTCCCTTTTATCTTTTCTCACAAGCATTTATTTAACTTTTGTTTTTAAATAATATAATTTAAACTATTAACCATTAACCACCAGTTAAGAAAAATTATAGATTTTAGCCAATAAAACAAGTAATTTTTTTTGTTTTTCCCACAGCTTCCCTGAATGGGACCATCGAAAAGGGTACATTTATTTTGTTTTCAGACAACCAGAGCAACTTTGGTGTTTTCTTTCTCCTCAGTGGTATTAACCATTGAATTTTCAATAATTGTTTTTAGTTCTAAAGATAAGGCGGATWCCTCCTCGGGGCGTTTGCRTCGCCACAGCCCCTCCCACACTTCAAAGGCAGGCGCGCCCAGCCATGGATCTCGCTCCCGTTCACGCAGCCCCCCTCCCCGCCGCCGCAGTTCCAGGGACAGAAGGGGTCTGTCCAGGGGGAGCTCCCGCTCCCGCTCGTTCAGCCCGCGGCGGCGTCACAGACGAAGGAAGTCCAGCAGCAGCTCCCGCTCCAGGTCCAGGTCCAAGTCCCGCTCCAGGCATCGCTCCAGGTCCAGGTCCAAGTCCCGCTCCAGGCACCGCTCCAGGTCCCGCTCCCGCAGCCCCAGTCGCCACCTCGACTCCAAAAAGAGAACGAAGACAGCAAGCAGTTACAGGTCTGTGTGGGGTGAAAACAAATTAATTAAAAGGCTTCCCTTAAGTTCTGGTCTAGTCCTTGGTCTCTGTGTCATAGATCGCGGCCGAGGAGCCATGAAAAACAAGCTACAACCAGGCGAACAGACGATAGACGGTCCTCCCCGAGGAGAAGTCGAGAAAGAAGATCGTCGCCGGAGAAATTCGCCTCTCAGCGCCGGAGGTCGACGAGCAAAGAGAAACTGGCCAAAAGGCTCATCGAAACAGCAGGTTTGTCTAACACYAATACTCAGGATTGTTTTATTAATACGACACGCTTTAYCAAAAGTTCAAGTCCCTTAAAATGGCCCCTGAAGTTTGAGTTAGACAGTGTGTTGGAGRAAAACACCTCAAACCTTCCACTTTTCATAAAGTYGCTGTCGAAGGATAAAAGCTTTCTGCGGTCAACTATTTTATTATCAACATCTCATAATTCATCAATCAAAATGTTTCCCTCGTAATTCTTTTCCATTTTTCTGTTTGCTCTGCTTTTTGTTCCAGGAGTGGAGGCTCTGTCCAACATGACTGACCTGGAGGCTCTGGTTAAAACTCTGACTCCAGCCCTGCTGGCCGAGCTAAACAAGAAGATGCCATCATCATCATCATCATCATCATCATCATCATCATCATCAAGTGCAAAGTCTGAGCAGAAACAGGTGAGTTATTTTATTGGAACTATTGAAAATGTACTCATGGCTGTGATACTATCTGGAAGATCACAGGATGTTAGTTTTAAAAACAAACTCTGTGACGTGCTGTGAATGGGGTCCCTCAAGGGTTTGTGTTTGGCCTCTTGCTATTCTTTCTATGTTCTGYCTCTTGGTCTTCTKTTGCGTTCGTTTAACGTAGCCATTCACTGTTACTCTACTGATCTGCAGCTGCATATGCCTTTTACACCTGGAAACTGTGCTAACTTGTCTAAACTAGAGGCCTGCTTATCAACAACTAGGGGTTGGTTTTCAAATAATGTCCTGCTTCTCAATGCTGATAGACTGATTTCATGGTTATCAGACCTTCAAAACTCCACCACAAAAAGTAGTATTCTTAGAGTTCATTTTAATGTGTATACTTGAGTATAAGTTTTAAGTATATCAAGTATAGTACGCACCATGTTCTTGTAGTGTACTAGAAAGTATACTGATTTAATACTTATTTGGACTAAATTGAGATTTTTAGTTTATAAAAAGTATACTGTTACTTTTTTAAGCTTATCAAATTATAATTCAAGTACACTCATCTGTATACTACTCATGTACTATGTATATACTTGTGTTCCATATTATAGCTTGTTGAATWATATTTACTGTACACCACATACTTTTCTCTAAAAGGCCGCTGCACTAGTTGTGTACTTCTAAGCCACGTTTCAGTTTATTTAAGTATACTTTACTTGTATAAATTACTAAAAACTAAATTACAAATTTTGTCATTTTAATTGTTAGATTATACTTGTAAGTTTGCTTAGCACATCGCTTGTATAATACTTTTTAAATGCTGAAATATACTTCCTAAAGTATTCCTAAAGATAACCCATACTGTTCGTACACTACACTGTTTACAAAATCACGACAGAATCATGAGAACAACTTTGATATATTTACCATATTTATTCAAGTATAATACGATCATAATTTCTGAGCTTAAACAGTGTAAAGGGCTCGACACACGGGCAGCGACAAACTACAGCGATTAGCGACTGTCATCGCAGCCAGGGTGAAACCCGACACACGGGACGTGATAGCGATTGCAGCGTTGCGAATCGCGCTCTCAGGTCACTTGTCTTCATAAAATTTGATTGGTTCTTGACTCTGAAGGCGGGTGTGCGTTACGGACGTGTAAACTAAACAAATCTTGCGATGCTAATGATATTAAAAACAAACACACATCAAGATACAGTTTTTATGAGGAAAAACTTACCATAAACTTCACCCTGGTGCCAATAAATTCCCACAAAGCTTTTTAGTAATCACATAGTGAAAGTGTTAGCTAACTGCAGTGTGTAGCATGCTCTCCTCTCATTGGTCAGTCAATGAAACCCTTGCTGATTGGTTGTACGCTAAGCGACAGTGACATAAGTTGAACATTTTTCAACTTTCATGTGTCGCGTCGTAAGCTCGCGTGTGCACGTGTATGTGTACGAGAGTGAAATTTCACATGCACTATTTTCGACGGTCTCTTAGCTGGAGGAGAGCGAGCGATTGTCGCCTCACCGCACAGGCTCCACAGGAAATGAATGGAGAGCGAGCGACGTCGCCTCCCGTGTGTCGAGCCCTTAAAAAGTAGAATCACCATTAACCTGTGTATAATACTACCCCCTACTTTATGGATGATTTTTAGGGTTAAATTTCTAGTATTATACATGAACAAATACAGTAGTTATGAATGTACTTAGACTTAAACTTCTTTTTTATACTTTCAGTATAGGAACAAGTATACTTCACTATACTTACCGTATTTTTCGGACCATAAGCCGCACCGGACTACAAGCCGCACCCCCAACATAAAAAAAACAGTACACCCAAATTTGTCATCAAAAAAGTGAATTCAACATCAAAACATAAAATGCAAACCTTTAAGAATTAAAGTTTGGAGGAATACGGTTCATTTAACTGACCTTATTTTGGTAGTTTTCTTTAACAGTTTCTGGTCCAACAAAACATCTCATTCATCTTCCTCCGGCGCACTGAAAACATCGAAGTCCTCTTCTAGGGCTGTGTATTGGCAAGAATTTGGCGATACGATACATATCATGACAGAGGGGTCACGATACAATATATCCCGATATATCCCGATATATTTCGATACTGTAAACAAGGCGATATATTGCGTACTGTAAACAAGGCGATATATTGCGATATTTTTGGTCCAAAAATTCTATTAAATAAAAACCTCTTACTGGAAAAATAAAACGAAAAAAATTCTAATATTACATAGACATTCTTTTGATACATTTAGCTGTGTTCTGCTTTGTATGTGTTTTATTTTATT